AGTGAGCCAACCAGGAGTTTTTCAGTCTCAAGATCACTACAATTGGATGCATAATTGGTGGACATTCGATGAAAATTCACATGGAGAGTGTCATATAGAGCTTCATTCTTCTCAAACTCAGAGCCAGTCAATAGATCTTCCCGAGGTTCCATCACCCTTACACATGATGATGGAATCTTAACAGCATCAGATGACAGGAAAGATTGATTAACCAGACCATTGCAGAAATCATGGTAGGCTAAATGACTCTCCTCCGTATTTGAATTTCCATACTGTAAAATTGCATGCGCATCCTGCTCTCTAAAAGTCGCCTTCCCATATTGGATACCAAAAGGGAAGATGCCTTTGTTTAAGCAAGAAGCCATCATGCTCGCCCCACCCTCCAATGCATGCTCTGCGAAACCTGGCCACAGCTTCAACAAACTGGGATCATATAATCCCATAGACTGCTGTTGCTCTGAGATGTTTGAATACGGCTTGATCCCAAGATAACATGTCCCCACCGTGCTATCAAGTCTAACACCTCTATGGTTTCCTGCCTCAACAAAATTGTTCCTATGATTTCTCATATAATAAGGATGAATTCGATGATTTCTATAATCATACACACCAAACCTATGGTTTGGAATTCCATTCTGACAAGAACCTGAAACCCTGTCACCAAAATAGGAAGATTTCCCAGGATAGTTACTCCCAACGTGCTGATTGTTGCAATTTGATGGCAAGTGAGTTTTCACTGAACAACAATTCACAGCCCAAGGCATAATGTTTTCCCTATTGAAATTACTGGTTAAGACCTGCCCCTTACTGTTAAAATGCTTACCATCAAAACCATTACGCACAGAAACCACACCACAATCATACAATTCCTTTGACGGCAGTGAAGACTGACCTGTATTCCCAGTTTTACCCCCGCCCCCATTACACAAACCTGAACTAGACCGCCCCACTAAAGGTTCCATTGGACCATTTGTTTCCACTCGCAGATTTCCATCCCTCGGATTCAATGGATGCAAACGGTCATTTCCCATTCCATTAAACAAGAAAATTTTCTCTCCATAAGGATCCCTTTGTATAGTTGAAAACTTTGGTTGGGGTCCTAAATGCGAATCCATAAATTGATGCTCATAATCCCCTTTAGTTTGTTTTGCTAATAAGCGTTGTTTCAAAACCATTTTTCTTAACAAATCTTCGTTACCTCCTTTCTCAATCCTACTATTATTACCACATTCAATTTCACTACATACAAAAACCCAAAGCCTCCCATGCTTACCGCACAGTTCCAGTTTATCATACTCATCAACCATGCACTTGACGTCATCGTCCGACGCGATCAACACCACAGGCATCTCGTCGTCAGCCTCATTGTCTTTACGCGAACGGCCGGTCAAAGGAAGCTGGTACCTGAGAGTGAAGGAGCGAATGTTGGGGCATATATCTGAAATCTTTAAACGGAGTTTGGAGAAAGAAATGTTTCGGTCAAGAGAGACTATACGCGCCTCTCCGCCAATGTAGCGGAGCTTATTGGAAAGCGGTCTGATGTGGAATTCGCCATTGAAGCTACAAACTAGCTTCAGTTTGGAGGTGGGTTTCTTGCGGATACGAGAGAGAGAGTGTTCTTTCATGGCAGAGATGGTGTGTGCGTTTGTGTGCGTACTTCTTGCTTATTATATATGTGTGTGAGGCGGTTTGAAGTTTGGGTTTTGTTTTTAACTTAATTACGTTGTTGCCATGATCTCAGGTGTGTTTTCTGTTGGGAATTTGAAGTGTATTTTTACTTAATTACCCTTCAACTTGCTTTTAAATTACCGCTTTTTTGTCTTGTCGTTTTGTTTATAAATTTCATATTTATTGCTTGTATTCGTCTAAATAATAGTTGTTTGTCGTTTGTACCAACCTAAAGAAGCTGCAATCAATAAATTATTTTGCTTCTTTACACTTGCTGCTGTAGATATGATACGAGCTTAAGAATTAATATGCAAAATCTGGTCTAAGCATGCTTTTGATAATATATATATATATATATATATATATAACATAAGATTATAGTCCCATTAAACGTATTAGACTATGATCTTAAATTAATAAGAAGAAGAATTGAGAAATTGACGTTGAAAAGAAAAATAATTCAACAATGAGACTAATGTATGAGATCAAACATTAGTTTGGAAACGGAGTAACGATTTGTCAAATCCAACAGTTTCTAATTTTATTGCATATAAATACATAAACAGGGAGAAAATTCCAAAGCTTCGTGTCTATTTCTATATCTAATTTGTCTTTGTACACTGCATCATTGATCATACCATGTTATTCCAAAGCTTTCTATATTTAATTGTTTTAATTTGATTTTTTAATTGGTCCAATTATACCCTTCAATAATTCAAATTGGATCAAAATATTCTTCAATCTTTTGATCAATTGTTCTGATAAGAATATAAATTAACATAAGGATCAAGAAATGTTAAAGTTACATTGGCGCACAATAGCATGCCAGCTGCATAGTATCTTATACTGTACATCACGTTTAGCATATTCTCTAAATCTGCACACGTGGATCCTTGAGATTTGACGTGGCCATTTGGGCATAGAATTGATTGATCCACGGCCACAAGTTAGGTGTTGGTCAGAGTCAGAATGATTTAATTGCCTACGTGGAGCATTGAGAATACACGTAGCGTTTTAGGCCTTTCGGTTAAGTGATCCACAGCCACAAGTGAGCTTTTGGTCAGAATGGCAGTCCCTCGAGATGACTGCCACGTAACGACATAAAGGGTACGTAGTGAAAATGTGGGTCCATTTTAATGACTTTTTTTAACACGTGGAAATTACTTTTGGGCATTTGTTGGACAAGTTTTGGTCAGATTCTGTGTCAATCCTAGTAATGCAACAAGTAGGTCCAGTGTTGGCCATAAGCCCACATCGAATAATTATCATTTGGGATGACTTCACGACTAATCAGGAGAAACCAAAAGTTAGATTATTATTCTACATATCGATCTAATAATATAAAGTCGAAATAATTTAAGGTAAAGATAAGTTTTAAGAATAGAGATTCTTGATGTACTCTTTCATAAAAGGTTGAGCATTAAATACAATTGGGAATTGAATGTCGGTAAAAAAGGAGTAAAGAGTATGAATAATGCAAAATGGACATGACATGGTTAGGTGATGATCTTGAAAGGTGGCCAATGATATTAGTTGCCACATATATGATATGCATACAATAATCCAATGTTTCAATGAAAAATTGACGGACATGATTATAAAGGTTAGGCAGTATATGTTCCAATAATGTTACAAAAACGAGTTGGATATGTGATGAATCAATCATTTGTATGGTTAAAATAACGTTATATCATTGGATATCTCAAATGATCAAAAAGTTAATAATAATCATCACAAATATGTAATTTAGTTAAGGTGTGTACAAACAGGATATCTTAATCATAAAAAAAAAAAAAAAAAAAAAAATTTGAATAAAGGCAACAGTTGAGCTGGGACACTATAGTATGGCTCAAGCAAAGTCAATAAGATTCACTAGGCCTACAATATATGTATACTTATATTAAGATTTAAATAAAGAAGTTGTATTGGCATCAAAAAGTGCTAAACGTAGAAAATATCGTCACCCATTCATTTACAAGAATTTTCAACATCTCACATTAATTTAGATTAATTAATTTCAGTGGAGTAATGGTACATTGTATCTGTATCGTTCAACTGATTATCAGATTATGACAATAAAATAAAATAATAATTGCATGATTCTCATACCTTAGAACACCTTTATTTATGGAATCTACCGAAATCACAAGGTGAGTGGCGGCCTAACACGGAAATCACACAATTTTGATGGCGATGGCTTATCTTTCACGTTCAAGCTTTACTTGACTTCAACTAATCAACTCCATCCACATCACATGATTTTGCACTTGATAATGCTGCATTCATGGCTTCTCCTCTACTTCAGGATGTGGAATCGTGGAAAAATATGAGAGCCGTTGGAAATTTGCATACGCCTACTTTAATTTATTTGTTACTGGAATCTTCTGTTTAAAGAATGAACAACTCAATCTCCTATGGTCATAATGTCTCCAGCACTGCGTACAGCACAGTGTTACCAACAACTTAAAAGACAGATTGTTGCATCTATGACAAAGAGAACACAGATATCAATGAGTAATTACAAGAGAAAATGTTATATATATATATATATATATATATATATTACTCTCCATTTGTTAGTTTTATTTGCTCGCACATATTAAAAACGAAACAATGCACCTTACAAGAAGAAAGAGGGTCTATATATTTTGACTACATTGTTAGAAGAACTGATTAAAAATCATTCCTGGAATCTGGTAATGGTTGTTGTATGGTAGTAAGAATTCCAAAATCCATGATTTTGGTACAATAGGAAACATGGTGAATAAATAGAAACAATGCCAGACAATCTGATGCTTTCTGCATTGAAGTCATGACTCTTTAATCCTTTTAAAATATATGAGTGCAATATTTCTAATTATTGTCCAAGACTTTCACCTATCTATCTATGTGGAGAGATCTTTGGGTAAAATGTTCAGGACTGATACCTCTTTATGAATGGGATTTGATAAAGAAGAGTCTTCAGGTTAGCGGGATCTGGGATACACTGAACCGCTACCTGGCACCCCGTGTATCCAATACCAATACAGTGCAGTGGATCCTCCACGACCAACAATGACAGATGTAGTTAGTGTGTATGCTTGACAGAAACATGACAAATTGAGAAATCTCAAATGGTATCCGGCTCTGTCAATCACATAACAGTTTCAAATGTACAAATGGGAAAAAATCTAAGATTTCAACCAATAACTATAATTTATTAACGAAGCTTTCAGTTGGTGCACCAACTAACCATGTTTTTCTTTGCTTTGGCAGAACAATATATGTTTCACAATTTATAAAATGAAATATAGAAAACAGAAGACCAGTATTATGCGTTCAGCCTCTCCAAGTCAATAGAAGCCCTTCCCCAGACAGTTCAGACAGCGCTGCACCCTGTAATATGAAATATATGGAGAAATCATCAAATCAACAGTCAAGCATCTCCATAAAGATTAAAGAAGCAAAACATAACTAATCACTAATTTATCACTCGGCTTTTATTAGTGAAAAAAGCATGCTGACATCCAGTATTCCAAACATTAGTTAAAATCTTTTATCACATTTTTTCATTGGAATTACACTTACTCATGGGACTCATGCCTAATGACATTATTTTCTCATCCTTATATTAATTGGAGAACTTAATGAAAACGAAAATACAATGTAGAACAACTAATTTCTGATGTGAATCTCATTTAATAAAATTACCACACAACAAGAAAGAACCTAATCACAAGAGTATCTTACATTAACAACTATACTTCATAAACTACAATGAAAAGGAAAGAGATGACTAAAATGTTATTTTGTGGGAGGTAGCTGCTCCGCATATCCTTTATTTTCCTAACTTCTCTCAGAAACGAAACTATAGTTGGAAGAAAAGTTGCTTTCCAGAAACAAGAACACACCATGGAAAGGAAAAAAGAAAACCTCACAAAAAGTGGGTATAGTTTTGGCAAACTGAAAATGTTTTCAGAAACCAAGCATCGAAAACATAAAAAAAAAGAAGAACAAAACGACTAACCTGTTACCATCACATGTAGGACAAAGACAAGGGTTGATAAAAATAGGGTCATACAAAGGCGACCACTTTATAGTTGCATTTCCTTTGCATAACTTACATTTATAAAATCCTTTCCCTTTACAAGACCCACAAGGCGCCGCGACCTTTTTCTACAAAATGTAAAGCCGCAAAAACCAATCTCATCAACATATAACAATGAACAACTCAAACAGGAACGAAGTAGTGACATTAAGAGCAAGACACGATGGTTCTCATTTAGTTTTTACCCGTTTCGCTTCAGTGACAGCACGAAGCGCACCTAGTGTAATCGTTGAAGCGAAATTGAGGGTGACAAATCCACCAAAGATTATTGTAGCACTTGTGCCCAACACCTGCAGTGATTTTGGTATCATCGTCACACTTTCACTCTCTCCCACTTTTCTTCGAACAATTTCAGTGCATACAAACCGACTTCAGTTTATCTTGGCAGTTGACGCCTGACGGTTGACGCTCTCAGACTTCGTATATTTAGAAATTTCCAGCAAAACGCACCGTCTTAGTTTATAATTAATTCGTCTATCCAGTAAGACTTAGGTGGGGCCAGCTGGGTAAGTAGCAACTAGCAAGGCGCTGAAATTACAAAACTGCGCCGACTTAAAAAAAAAAAAAAAAAAAAAACAATTCAATTCAATTCAAAATTTAAAAATAAAAATACATTAAAGAAGCCGAGTCTGCCACGTCAGCTCCCATCGAGACGAGACGCCCTATATTTTCCTTAATCAACATTTTCTCTTTCTTTCTAGTTTCTCGCTTTAGGTAAGGAGTAAGGAACCCTAAATGAGCTGCTCTATCTCCTTCTCTCTCTTCGAAAATCTTTCTCTCTCTTCGAAAATCTTTCTAATTAGTCACTTCTAGGCCTTCAAATCTGTTTAATCTGAATCATAAATTATTCTATCGGACGTTTCAAAGTTTCTGGTAATGATCTAAATCGAATTATTATGATTTGTATCTTTTCTCAACTTTTGACCCGTTTCGGGGTCTGGTTTTGGCCGGATCTTGTCGATTGATGTATATTTAATTCAATCCTTAGATTGAACTGGTTCTTGACTTTTTATTGGATTCGTTCCATGTATTTTGATTTCTGGCCATGTGGACTTTGGGATTATGTGTTTTTGCTATTAATTTTGGATTCGAGGTGAGAAATTGGTGGCTGTTAGCTTACTTTAAAAAAGTTGGATTTGTGAAGTTTGATCTTCGTTTGCGATAATTTAATGTTTCCAATAGTTGCTATGGTTACTTTTATTGTATATTCAAAGTTGTTAGCTGTGATTTTAATTCCTGTATTGTATTGGCAATTATGAGCTGTTGAGTTTTACTGTTATTCTATATCATCTAGGTTGCTGCTGGTGTTGATGTTATAGTCATCAGATTATACTTGAGTTATCTGTTCTATTATTCATAGAAGTTATTTTGGAAATAATTTCGGTATAGGTATTACTTGCTAATGAGTTTTGTTAATGGGAAGAGCAAACAATTTGGGGACGGAATAAGTTATCAATTTCTTGATATTGGAGTTTTAATGATGTGACAATGGCGATGGCTATCCATGTGTTGATTTTAAATGGAAGACCAAAAGGATGTGAACTTGGTTGTGAGACAATATATTGTTGTTTTATGGTTTTAGCTGAAGATTTTGCTCCCCAGAAAAGGATTTTGTTTGGCCAACTTTCAAGTGGTTGGGCTTTAAGACATGTTAAGTTGTGTAGTTTCTTTTGGCAGATTACTTCTAATTGTAATCATTCCTTTGATTGAGATAGAAGATTGAAATGGTGGTGGTCTTCATGGATGAGTGACTGCAATTCTTGGGTTATGTCATTGTTGCTCTTAATATGACAAAAATGATCAAATGCTGTTTTAATAATGTGATATGTAATTGTTGCCATACAGATCATGCCTGTACTTGGGACTCACCAGCTATTCAATGGTCTTAAATCTTGGTAACATGACTTGCTGGTGCTTTTCTCCCTCCCTCCCTTTCTGCTAATGCCTTTCGGATTTTATGTTGATATCCACCCTTTTTCATTAATATTATTTCCTAGGAAGTATGCCTGGGAGAATGCTGAGGAGATGTAGCAAGGGTATTGATATTTATGTCTATAGCACAGGGTGAAGAATCTTAGTATCACTTATCCATTTTATCCTATTTAAGATAATATTTCTGCTCTATGGAGTCATTGTTTTTCCTTAAATTATGTAATCTGTGTACATTTTTATGATACTGATGGGAATTTGAGAGTTCTTACTAATTCACACATGTTCTTGCATAGTATATTCATATATCTATTTCTTTCTGTAAACACTGTAATTCTCTAAGCCTTGATTCTCTGTGTTTGATATACTTTCGTGTGCCAATTCTTTTCTTTTATTAGACTTGTAGGCCTTTCTTTTGATGAATTTTTAATACATAAAGCATGCATTTATTACATTTTGGTGAGATCTTTTGTGTTTTGATTTATTCAGTTGCTGCCTTTCTGGAGGCACTGGACTTTAGAGTTTGTGTTGATATAATAGAGACTTCAACATGCCAAAGGAGAGAAGAGATCGTTCTGTCTCTTTTGATAGATGCAAGACATCTCCTTATCCATGCAGCTCTAGTCATGCTCAGAGATCTTCTGCTAAAATCCCTTCCGAAACTGAGGAAAATTTGAAGGAATGGGAAGATGCGAGGTGCCCTGTTTGTATGGAACATCCTCATAATGCAGTTCTTCTCTTATGTTCTTCCCATGAGAAGGGGTGCCGGCCCTACATGTGTGACACAAGCTACCGCCACTCCAACTGTCTTGATCAGTTCCGGAAGTCATTTGCTGAAACCTCATCAGTGATACCACATCAAGAAGAAACCCAACCCACAAACTCAGTCTCAATTGTTACTTCAGAAGTAGCAGTTACTGATTTGCAAGAAGAAAGAAGTGAGGAAGGTTCCTCAACGCCACATTCTGTGTCTTGTGAGAAGAAGGCGCCGCCAAAGATAGTGTGCCCACTTTGCCGTGGCCATATTAAAGACTGGATAGTTGTGGAAGATGCTCGTCGGTTTATGAATGCAAAGACAAGGTCTTGTTCCTGTGAGACATGCAATTTCAGTGGCACCTACACAGATCTCAGAAAGCATGCTAGGCTGGAACATCCCCTTGTGCGGCCATCAGAAGCTGACCCAGAGCGGCAGCATAATTGGAGAAGATTGGAGCGCCAGAGAGACCTTGGGGACTTGCTCAGCACACTTCAATCTTCGTTTGGAGAGGAGGGGGCTGATAGTAGTATTTTGCCAATTGATGATGGGGGTTGGCTTACTGTATTTTTTCTCATTAGAGTCTTTAGACCTGGGTCTAATCCAAGGAGAAGTAGCTGGTCCAGTACTTCAAGAGCCAGAGCACACCTGAGTATTAGGAGGAGATCTACCCGACTTTGGGGGGAGAGCTATGATGGGGAAACAGGATCTTCTTCCAGAGACGACGATAATGACTCTTCAGATGGTGGATCAGTTCCACTTAGGCGCAGTGAGCGCTTAAGGCGGCAAACAACTCCAGACAACCAGCCTTAATGGCATATCCTTTGCTGCATCTGTATGATTCTTTTTGTTTGGAAGTTTCCACTGTAAGAAATGATGCAACTTTCTGGTGCTTTTTTTTTTTCCATTATTTTGCTGATGATGGCAATCAAGTGTGAGAAACGGGAGTTGACTGCTTGTGTTGTGTTTCAGGTGGAGCACAATGGAAGAAGAATGGAAGTAATGCTCGAGGTTTGGTCTATTCCACATCCTGTGGAACAGACTTTGTTGGAGTTGATGGATACTTATCGGAGATTTGTCAAAATGTAATTTAAATGGACTTTTAATTAATCTACATATCTTTTTGTCTGAAGCAGCTCTTTTCTTTTACTTGGCATTTGTTGGTGCTGCTTCTGTCGGAATTGTCCTTGAATTTGTTAAATAAAAATTTATTAATTTGTGCCGTTCAAATTAGTGGCCAATTTGGAAGGTTGTTGCTAGTTCAGGGGGTTTGGTTGGGGGGTACGTAGGATTATTGGGGTTAAGTCATCTTATATTACTTGATTATCATATTTGGTTTGTTAAGTAATATAAGATTCCAGTAATCTTCAAATACCAATAGTGGTTATTGTTGATAATATCGGAGGTAATCTCATTACCTTTATTTTCTCAAGTATTGTAAGGTTATTTAGGCTTTTTTTTATAATTCTATTCTTTATTAATAAAATTTTAGATAATAATGTCTTTATTTTTAAATTTATTTATATGAATCTTGCTTTTACCATTTCACCTTATTTAATTATTTTTTTGGACAAAATTACCCTTGAAATCAAAACAAATTTCAGCTTACCTAAGGCATCACCCCCACCCACCTGTTGCTGCCTGTTGCCAGCCAAACCACTGTCGGCTGTCGCGGGAAGTCATTGGAAGTCACTTGGAGTCGTCGTGAGCAACCTATCGTGATTGGGAGGCCCCGATATGGCCTACTGTTAATGTTTAGACCTATCGATCTGGCCATTTCTAGCAAGATTTGACTTGTTATGGCTGTTTTCGGCCACCAATATGGCCAGAAACGACCATATCAGAGCCTCGTGGTCACGGGGAGCTACTCACGGTGACTTTCGAAGACTTCCGGCGGTGGCAGCAAGTGGCGGCTAGGCATGGCAATGGGGCGGGGCGGGACGGGGATCTCATTCACCGTACCCATCCTCGCCCTCAAAATCACTCCCTACCCCTGCCCCATCCCTATTACGGGGATGACAGGAATTCCCCTTTTCGGTTTCAAAGGGGAATGTTGAAGGCCCGTCCCCACTCCGTTAATTTTTCATAATCATAAATTAATTTGAACATTACCAAACACAATAGTTAATTTTCGTCCACATAACAAACACTTAAATTAATCGTTTAAACATAATTAATTATACATAAAAATAGGTTAGGGTTTGTTCTTGTTCAATTGTTTAGGGTGAGGGAAATTGGGAAAATATAGGTTTATATAGGTAGGATAATTGTGTAATTAAGTGAAATATATAGATACTAGTGAAAAGTATCTATATATAATTTTATATATTATATATGAGGCGGGGTGGGGCGGGGTGGGGTCGAGGAAAGGCATCACCCACCCCCGCCCCATCCCCGTGGACGGGGATTAAAACGCCCCCCACCCTGATCCCCAAAAAAACCGAGGCTTCCCTGCCCCATATGGGACAGGGCAAATCCCCGAAATTCCGGGAAACATTGCCATGCCTAGTGGCAATAGGGGGTGAGGGTGATTTTGTCATAAATTAAAGTTTTATAAAGCGGAGGTATTTTAGCTAAATCTGAAATATTGGGGGTTAAAAGAATTATTCAAAAATTAATAATAAAAATATATTATATTAATATTTAAAAAGAGGGCAATTTAATAATTTAAATAACATACATACCAATTTATTCCCCTTAACCAAACATATTAATATAACATACTCACCAACTAATCAAACACATTTTTTTAAAGATTCCCAATAATCTTGAAGGTAATATAAAATTCCAGTAATCCAACATTCCTTACCAAACGTCTTCTTCATATTACTCTGGCAACAGCTAAGGTGTAATTAAGGAATAATGATGTAGGACTATTTTCAATGGGATGAAGGATTTTTGTACTATCATATCCTTATCCTATTCAAAATACACATTTGTTTTCCTATTTTGAAAATTTTATTCTATTTTATTTAATTATTTTTAAACCCTTTAGGTTTGTTAATTTAACTAAACAAAAAAAAAAAAGTTCAAAAATTGATAAAAAAACTTCCACCCACTCACATTTGTCAGATTTCGACCACCATCGTCGGCAGGTGGTCGGAATCTGGTATAATGGTGCATTACTGGTTGCATCTAGTTAGTAGTGCGTCAATCTAACCTTTTTCGGTCAAATTCACCATGGATCTGGCCGTTGACAGCCAGATCTTTGGTCGTAGCTAATCGTCAACGGCAGCTAAGATATGGCCATCGTTGACGACCAAACGCGGCCAGATCTGGCCGTCAACAACTAGATCTAGCTATAGATCTGGCCTTTTCTAGCTAGATCCACAGTGGATCTAGCTAGAAAATGTTATATAGGCACACGACCGACCAGACCCTGTCGGTTGTGTGCCAATACGGCGACTCCAGCCACCTTCCAATGATGGTGGCCGGCTGCTGGTATTTAATGGGTGGGTTGAGTATTTTTGTTAATTTTCAATGTTTTATTACAATGGTGTGTTTTTATTAATTTTCAAATCCTATCTCGTAATAACCACCCAACTCTTACTTTTTCAAAAATCCTATCCAAAATAATAAGGGGCGTTTGGTTCAGGAATGTTAGATTACTGGGAATGTTGGATTACTGGAAAGATAGATTACCTTGAAAGATTACTGGGAATCTTTAAGAAAATGTGTTTGGTTAGTTAGTGGGTATGTTATATTAATATGGTTGGTTATGGGGAATAAATTGGTGGGTATGTTATTTAAATTACTAAATTGTCCCCTTTACAAATATTAATATAATACTATTTTTATTATTAATTTTTGAATAATTTCTTTTAACCCCCAATATTTCAGATTTAGTTAAAACACCCCTGCTTATATAAAACTCTAATTTATTAAGAAATCACCCCCGCCTCCTGCCGCCACCGCAGACCACTGCCGGAAGTCTCCGAAAGTCCCCATCAGCAACTCACCGTGACCAAGAGGCTTTGATATGGCCGTTGCTGGCCATATTGATGGCCGAAAACGGCCATATCAGGCCAGATCTGGGCGAGATCTGGCCGATAATGGCCAGGGATCTGGCCGTTATCAATCTGGCCTGATATGGCCGTTTTCGGCCATCAATATGGCCGAAAACGGCCATAACGATGACTCCCGGAGCCTCCCACCGAAACTCGTTCTTTTTTAGGGACTCCGGCGAGTTTTCCGAGGCGGTCTGTGGTGGTTGGCCGCTGTAGGCGGTGGTGGCTGGGTGGCAGTGGTGGTGGTGGCTGAGTGGCAGTGGTTTGTAAATTGTTTTAAATTCAAGGACATTATTGTCCAAAATTTTAGTTAAATAAGGGTAAAATTGAAATAGGATATTAATGTAAATTTATTTTAAAATGAGGGCATTATTGTCCAAAATTTTCATTAATAAGGGATAAAATTGTAACAAAAAAAGATAACCATGGTAATCTCAGAATACCTAAGAAAATGGAGGTAATCAGATTACCTCCAATATTATAAATAGTAGTTACTATTAGTATTTGAAGATTACCGAAATCTTATATTACTTGACAACCAAACGTGATAATCAAGTAATATCAGATGACATTATCCCAATAATCCGATATTACCGTCAACCAAACGCCCCCTAAAACAAATACCCTCGGAAGTCCTATTTGCTTTACCAATAATTGGTTTTCCTTAATATGTCCATTAAAGAGTAAGAAGTAACATTGTGAACTGTTAAGGTCCCAGCTGGATAAATAAATGATATCGAACGGATCGCAGTAATGTAATATTCAAATTAATACAAAGCTCTTGCATTTGCTGGGAATCAACGGACTAGACTTTGACCATGTGCAGATAAAAAACCGCCGCATTGGTTTTGAAAATAAGATAAGAAGATTACACATTATACACATGTGATCTTACTGAATCAAACGCAGGCCAATTTAAAAATTTTAAAAGCACATGCCACGTTGAGTGCGTTTCTTGTAATCCCCAATCTTTGGTGTTATGACTTTTTGGTCCCAACTTTTCTTTCTCTTGAATCATTGTGTTAAGAAATTTTGAAATTTTATTTTTATCTTGAATTTGGATTACAACTTCTTTTATTCTGAATATTAATTAACGAATGTTATTTTGTGTCGTTAATTTTTTCTTAGTCTATTAGCTTTTGGGTTTAAATTGTCACTTATTAAAAGGAGCCATTATTTGGTACGCACCATTATTTGGTACACAATATACAAATGATATCCACCGTCCTTAGCTATACTCTATTTACCCATTTTCATTTTTTTTAAATATATATCTTTAAAAGAAAAAGGAAAAACGAAAAAAGAAAAAGGAAAAGATGGTAAAGAAAAAGAGAGAGCTAACTTTCTTTTTCCTTCATTCCTCAAAAGTCCCAAACCTTTCCTGTGACTGTCCAACTGCTCGGAGAATGGAGACGCATCTCTGAGACCGAGAAGAAGAGATTTGTAGTTGCGGGCTTAGAAGTTTTATTTCTTTGTGGAGTTAGTGTGAAGAATAGTTTTATGAGGAAATGGGATCAGCCAGCATCTCCAATTCCAGCTTAGAACATGATAATTGTGACAACAGTGACACCCAGGTGGTTTTAAATGTTTACGATCTCACCCCTGTCAATAATTATACCTATTGGTTTGGTTTCGGGATTTTTCACTCCGGCATTGAAGGTTTGCTTCTTTTTGCTTTATTTGGGTATCTCTATGTGGTATTCACGTTGTTGAATTTGTCTTTCAATCTTTTTCTCCTTTAATTTTTTACAGCTTACTAATTTTGGGATTTTTGATATTTGCTTAGATCTTATGGGGCAAAGGTTTTTTTTTTTTTTTCTTTTGCTTGATTAAAGAGTCAAAATTTGAATTCAGGTTTGTAATTCAGACGTCAACTTTATGGGGTTCTTGTTGCAGATTGATTTTAATTTTTTGCATGTATGATAGACGTGCTTCTCAATGTTTACAGTTCATTAGCCTTCTCTTCTTATTTTTTTCAGAAAAAAGGGCAAAAAAAGGGAATGTTTGATGGATGGATCATATGATGTTAAACTATTTTTTATACTGTAACTACCCTTGGACTTTATTTTAACAAAGAGAAAGAAGTTTTAATCCATTAGTGCCTAAAAATCTTCAATCTTGAAGACAGTGTAAAATTTGTTATGCTTCATACAAGCAAAATGAGTCAGTTGCACTTGAAAATATTTGGTCTAAACAATGAGCTTTTGGTTCCAGGTTTAGTGCTATTGCTTAGTGCAGAATAGGTAATGTTGTTTGTACTTCAACAGGGACAAAACTAAGTATTTGAATTGTCTACTGATTAGAGCCTCAGACACTGGATTTAAACTTGTCTCATGCAACTTTAAGTATTTTATATACTCAAAATAGTTGGGAATAAGTTGTGATCCTTGGACTTGTATAATGGAATTGAATAAATTGGTTCATGGTTGATGTGTGCCCTAGAGGAAGGCTGGTAGAAGTGTGGAACATATAATGGGAATTGGGGAGAAAGTGATATGCTGATAAATGTTTAAGATTCACGAAAACAATATTAATTAGAAACCTGATATTTGCTTGAATTGGAGAGAGAGTGACTTGATGAACTATTTCATCCTGATCCGTAGAAGTCCATATAGTGAATGTTCATCATTACCAGAGAGTTTCCTGATCAATAAATTCATGTAGATCTACAACTAGTCCAAAAATGAAAGAACTCATTATATTTGAATTTTTGTTCAATACATATTGTTTCTTATTGCCTTTTCAGAGTTCAACTAACTAGAACATCTGAATTTATTGTGTGAACAGTTCATGGTAAGGAGTATGGTTTTGGAGCACATGATTTCCCAGTTAGCGGAGTTTTTGAAGTAGAACCAAGGAGCTGCCCTGGATTTATTTACCGATCTTCCATCCCATTGGGTCGCTTAAATATGCCTTCCTCTGAATTCCGGACGTTTATTGAGTCTGCAGCTTCTGAGTACCATGGAGATACTTATAATCTCATTTCCAAGAATTGCAACCATTTTACTGATGAAATCGCATGGAGATTGACAGGCAAACATATCCCTGGGTGGGTAAATCGGCTGGCCCGGATAGGTACAAAAAGTTCTTCCTGTTTATTGATCTTCCAATTCCTGTAACACATTGCAACTTGCAACTAATAACAACTTTGGATGATGTATTGGCCTTAAACCCAAGGAATATGTGGGGTGAGTAGCTGCCCCTGAGGCTCAGCCAAAGGAGTTACCGACCGCCAAATTGTGTTATAATATGCCCAATTAAAGATATATTCATCAGAATACATTAGGTTTCAAATTATGGTCTTTGATCTGTCCTTTCCTAGATTTCAAAAGATATAGCCTTTAGTTTTAAGAATTTGAAGTTTACTTTTCTTTTCCATAAATAGTTACACAATTTCTTTGACACCCTAAAAGCTGAACAATCTGAAAATTTAATAGAATGCATCACGTGTTCCATATTTCAGGTGCTTTGTGCGGTTGTCTTCTTCCTGAAAGCCTTCAAGCTACTTCTGTTAAGCAGCTACCTGAGTACCACGAGTGTACGGGTAAATATTCTATATCATGAATTATTTTTCTTCTGAATATTGTTCAACTTAATGTTTAGTTCACTTGTTACTTTTAACTGGTTCTAATATTTGCAACATATGGTTTTGCCTTTTTCTCTATTCTTTCCTAAAGAAGATGGTACTGAATCACTGTCAACAGCCACTCCTCGTGAGTCAATTGAAATTGATGATGACGGAGAGAAACTCTTGTTGTCACCACCAGCTGGCAGTGGGGAAGTGGCTTTTGTTAAAGAAAGGGAGAAGTGAACTGTGGTTGCTTTCAGGGGAAAAAATTTGGCCTTTGGACCGATTGTTCTCATCTTAAGTAGATACTTGCTTGGAATGGCCTGCATCCCATTTTTGGAGGTAAAGTTACAGGAGATCATTAACCATTGGTAGCACGCGTGATTGCTTGCTGGATGTTGATTTTTTTCCAAATTACTCATTTTTTCAATCATTTTTCTTCTCTTTCCCCATTCTCTTCTTTGGTTTGTTGGGGTGAAGAATTTGGAACTAGAAAATAGCTTGTTGTAATTGATTTTTTGTACTAGTGTTTTGTATGAGCTTCTTTGAAGTAGAAACAATATCTCAACAACTGTTCAAATGTTTGATATAGTTCATGATTTGAAGGCATAGCCATTTTCCCAAACTTATGAAATGTTCAAATTGCATGTAGTTTCTAGGGGGACCGTGATACCCAGAGAAGCTCTTCCAAAAATATTACATTGCTTATCAGGGCACCTGAAGGATATAGAGTTTGCTCCAAATTAGTTTGCATGAACAAGTTTGAATCTTAGGGAAATTTTGCATATATATTTAGAGTAAACGACATTTTCCCACCTAAGGTTTGGTGAATCTGCAAGTTTCCACCCTCGGTTTCATAAATTACAGATTCTCACCCTTAAATTAATAGAAAATTGTTTAATCTAACAATTAAAAGGGTAAAATGGTCATCTCAAAGATGAAAATTTTGAAATGACCCTTTACTTCTCAAATTCACGCCACCAGAAAATTTTAAAATAACCATTCACTTCTCAAATTCACCCAACCAGTGATTTCAGGCCATTCCGACCTGTTACCTGCACAATCGACCCCTCCCGACACCACAATTACAGTCCCCTCAACCCTCACATCAAAACCCCTAACCTCCTCGCTTGATTGAACCCTCCAATCGTCGGTCGTCACTTTTAGTGTCAATCGACGTTTCATCCAAATTCCGGCAGGTCCTGGCATCGAAAACCACCCCCAAGACCACCAATAGCATTGTCGGCTTCCTCCCACCAAAGCCCCAACATCCCGACTGCAATTGCTCATCGATCGTCATCGCCTCTTCCTTTGGTTTTCGCGTTTTGTCACCCATTTCCAGCCAAATTCTTGCACCTCGTCGAGGCGCAATCGAGTGGAAAAGTTAAGCATTTTGGTGAGGAGGATAAGGGGATGTTGATGGTGGTGTCAATGAGGTCCAATGGTGTCAAAATTAGGCCAGATTTTTGGCTTGGCCGGGATCTCTTCTGGGGGTTATTTGAGAGAAATTTGAGATATGAGGGTTATTTTGAGAGAAAAGTAACAGTATTAATTTAAGGGTGGAAATTGCAATTTATGAAACCAGGGGCGGGAACTGTAGATTCGCCAAACCTTGGGTGGGAAAATGGCGTTTACTCTATATATTTATAAGCAACTGTAAACTTTACTGGTAATTGATGGCAGTCCTCATCATGTAAGTGATAAACCTCGAGCTCCCTCTTATATTCTTGATGGTTTATATGAACTATGAACTTAGGCCTCCAACGTATTACGTATCAACTCTTCAAGGCTCAAGCCAGTAACATAAAATTCATACAAATATAGGAGAGTTGGAATTTGATTTTAGGGCCTAGTTTTTACTGAGGCATGGGCTTTTGAGATGAACTATTACATATGGTCCAGGTTTTTATCACACTTATTCTTAATCATATGTAGTCTGGCAGTTGCGAAATTCAAACTCAATATCGTCCTTTAATATTGTACATTTTTTTGGCAATGGTAGGCAAAAGCAAGTTGCCACTTATGTAATAAGATAGTATATTCCTGATGAATGCACAAGATAAATAGCTATGCTCCAGTTGCAACCATAATCTGTCATTCTCCTGATTACTGAAAAAGGTGGCAAGAAAACAGAAATATGAAAATTTCAAGAGCAAATGTAGTCCCTATAGTTGTTATAAGTCCCAAATTTCATTTTATTTATTTCTTCCCGATCACGCTGATCCAAAGAAGTTTGCAAGGCAAATAAAAAAAGAATCAGCAAGTCACAGCCAGTTGCATGGAAATGAAAAAAAAGACAAGTTAAAAACATAGCATATTAGCAATAACCGTCCAGACTTCATGACAAGCAAGTTGATGACCCAAACTACACACCTCTTAAAGATTTACCAATAAGGTTTCTTGTAGATCCAACAGTTAAAACAATATGAAATACGCCAGGACTAAATAAGGGAAATGCATGGACCAAGTTCGCTATAGCATGTATACCACAACCAGAACCATTTTGAGCTACTAAATTTTTATCCTTGAAACCATCAACAATTTTCTCCTTCCTCTTCAATTTTATGAAATCAAGATTTGCAGTTGTCACGTTATGAAGAGCTCCCCTCAAGTCCCAATTTAGATGTTAGCCAAGCACAAACCTCATCCATCTCTTCAGGGATTGTGTAGTGGCCAAGCCTGACAGTCAAGCAAAGGAAAAGGAATCAGAATTTTACAATAATAAGTTATCAAAACCAAACAAAGAAGTCTTACTGGTGTTACATACCCATTGTAAGATTTGAATGTCACATCCCGAAACCCATTTGAATTCAAGGATAGTGAGGACTTTTCACCAAATTTATATTGAACCACGTCATCACCTGCAACCAACCATGCCAAATCAATTTGTTAAGACCTGCAACTTATGTCACCAATAACTACAATGCCAGTGCTGAAACTAGGGCAAATCTTCAATTAGGGTTGAATACGAGACCATGAACTGGTGATTGAACATCTAGAGCAACGGATGGCAACCATTGACCATCTTCTTGACAAGCAAATAACAGGAAGAAGATATATAAAGTAGTAAAATCATTCTTGTTCTTCCATTACAAAAACAATGTGAATGTATTATGAAATAATAAGTGCGCTGCCTTTTATGTGACTTCTATTGTTAAAAAAAACATGAAGATGGCATTATGCTGCTGAATTACACATTGTCCATCCTACGGGCAGCTCTAATAGCTGAAGTTTGATGAGAGCCGTTTTTGTCAATGAAACAAGAATCATGAATAAAACTACACAAAAGACATTAACTAGCAAGGGACTAAAATGATATGCAAAATGAGAGGATTATATGGCCACAAAAGATTAGCTTTGACCAGCATTAAAGATTTTAAGCCTCCCAATGACCATATATTGACACTGGCATAAACATATTCCAATAAGCAGCAACAAAAACAGAAGATAAATAATGAAAGTGGTGAATGGTCAGTTTATGATCATCTAAGCTTATATTCTACTCATAATCACAATTTGTTACTCATAGAAAAAAGAAAGTATACCCTAAAGCCAATGATATAACATAAAACCTTTCAATTGAATATAAATTTCACGACAAAAAAAAACCAGCATGTTCCTATGTGAGATAGTTAGGACGACCTTTGCCATGACAAAGCAAAATGGGCAAAGATGAAGCACGTCTTGCAGCTTCATTATCTCCTCTTAATTTGCTATTCAAAGTCCTGGAAAAGCACATAAATTAGGCACCATAAGAAATGGAAATATGCCTAGAAAGTATCAAGTTGAGGTAAATATATGAAGACAAACTTTGAACAAGGAAGCCAGCCACTTAGTCCCACAACTGCACTTAAGTTGGCAGGGTATGTATTGCCATTTGTATATTTTCCCTGAGCGAAGCAGGTTGCAGAGTATAGTGAGGTTGCTGCACCCATACTGAAGCCTCCAATACCAAGTTTAACTATGAGAGAAAATATTATGATAATATTAGAACTAGAACAAGAGCAAAGTTGGCATTTTCAAGATTAAAACTTAGGAGTAATTAGTACATTGCATGGGTTGGAAATTAATCCATTGTTCTCCCCGTTGCATTTGAAAAAGTAAGTTCACCTCTAAGTGTACATTCATATAAAAACCTGGTGTAACCACTATTAGTGATCATAAGGAGAAATAGATCCATTACACAAAAGCAATGCAAAATACTTGTCTCACATGCAAAACAAGCCTCTTTAGTTGAACTTATCCGTGCGACACAATGCAATGGTGCTATGCCCATTTGAATCATCAAATATCCTATTAGTTCATGATGTAATTTGAGAAGCAGAAGTCCATAAATTAACTCTACAGTAACCTGATAATGATATTTAAGTTTGCATGAATGTATAAAAGCACAATCCTTTTGACTTACAGATTGGAACATAGTGTGGCAAATTGTGCTCCTAATAAATGACACAGACTGACACTGCAATGCTTTCTATGTTACAAAAGTCTAGCTCAGAACAGCTCTAGATGATATGCTCTCACTCTGTATTAGATAGCTAAGATAACATAAGCAATTAAACTGAATATTTGGCATCTTGAAGAAGGTAAACAGTTAAGCAGCTGTGGCATGATATTAATTTTCTCATATCACTCTGTTGTGCCTAAAAAGTCACACTGATATCAGCTCAACAAGTGCCTAAAAAACAAAGTGTACTAGCTGTCAAGCCCATACTGCCTCAAAGATATTTTATACCAACCTTATCTCATTTTAAGATAAGGATGAATGAGAGCTCTCCATGTGTCAAGGCAACCAAGTGTAATTTCTAAGACTCTCTTAGCGAGTTGTTGGTGTCAAAATCAAGCATCAACACACTCCAACAATCAAAATGCTTGAAAACATCAACGACATAAACATCTAAAAGAATAACTTTCCAAACTGATGAAGCATTGCCAAATGTATAGCATCATCACATACCAAAGATCTGAAAGAAGAAACTTACTGTCAGCAGGCTCAGTTGACAACAAATTTGCAACATGCAAGGCTGCAGCATCTAAACCCTCTAGATCATCGGGACCATCTTCCGAAAGATCTCCCACATCAAACCCTGATTTAATCACATAAGCGTTTCAGGTAAAAGTAATTAAGGTCTCAAACAGAAGATTATGTTGAAGCAAGATTTTCATTTCTAACATCCAAAACTGAATCTTCATTTTCAACAGATTGTTAACAAAGATGAGAGAGTGGAGTCTTGTTATAGTTTATATTGTAATTATTTTTTCTTTCATTTTTCAAGGTGCTTAGGGATAATATTGTACAACTTTGATAGACAGCAACATGAGTATTATGTGATTTTTCATTTAAAAGAATATATTACAAATCAGGCAACTATTCTTACAAGCAGTGGATGGAAAGCCACCAAATATAGTCATTGGTTGAGTAGGGGCAGTAGGACAAATCCATTTAATCTGCATCATACAATTACAGTCACAACAAGTTACGAACTTCTCAATGAAATCAGAACACCTCTTCCAAATAAATTGGAAAAAGGATAGTTTCGTTAATGCAAGTGCTCCCAAAGAATCAGGATGCGATCACTCTTACATTTGGAAGAGGAAGAGTCTCCAAGAGCTGTGACCAGCTGCAAATAGGATCAA